TGAAATGAATAATCAATCAATAAAATGAAAATTTAATATTTTTTAATTTTTTATAATATATTACTACATGTAAGTGGTAAAATAAACTAAAATAAAGCAAAAAAACAAGAAGGGCAATTCTGTCATTTTATATTACTGAAATCAAATTCATCTGACATGTCTGCGAACCAAACAGAATATGGAATTGGATTCCAATTCCATTTCCTGCCAACCAAACAGAATATGGAATTGGATTCTAATTCCTACAGATTCCAATTCCTTCACAGATTCTAATTCTCTCATAAACATTCCAGCGAACCAAACGCCACCTTAGTATCTTATGTAAACACGTAGGATCATAAATAAGGCTTTGTACATGCTTATACATTCAAAACATGAAATATACAATTATTATGCTCAACAAGCTTTAATCTAAACTTTTACGCTATCATGATTTACAAATGACCCACTAAAGAGTATAAAAGAGTTGTAAGTGTGTTACCTCAAAGCTCTTGGCTAATAGCAAACCCCTAACTCATTCAAGAGGTATTTTTCATTTCTCCTTAGCTTTTGAACTTTCTCCAACTTCTTTCACTATTCAAGGATAAGAAATAGGAATTTCTAAGTTAACTAAGTGATGGAAATAGAGATTAGAGCACTTCTTACATCTTGAATCTAACAGCAATAACCTAAAATCCTTAGATTCTATCGAACCTCCCAAAAACCCATTTTTGGAAACTATGGTTTAAAACTTGTAAAATGGAGCTTGAATTGAAACTATAAAGATAAGGATTAAGAATCTCACCTTAGATAAGCCAAACTAGATTTGCAAAGTTTGAAATCTTCAATTGGAAAAGGAGAGGAAGTGGAAGAAGAAGAAGGTTTGGTAAGATAATTGGGGAGTAGTTCACGTAAACTACATAATAAAAATGTGGGGTTTCAGCTCTCAAAACCATGAGAGGAAAACTACACTTTTAGTCCCATGACTCCCAAAATCAACCAAAACCACCATTAATCATTGGGCCCTGCTCAAGCCCACTTCTTAAATAGCTAAACTCAATCATTCTATTAGGTCCTTAGGTTCGATTTAAGGGTTTTGGGTTGACCCGAACTACTAACCGGGGTTTTGGGGCGTTACAGGAAAAATAAATAAAACTTTAGTATAACATTAATGTAAGTAGAGTATATACAGAAATAAAGTGGGAGTGATTAAATAACTCAGATATTATTTATAAATTGGAAGGGTAAAGGGGGTGCGTGGGGTTAGTCATGTGGCACATGCTTTTGTGCATTTGGTTTAAACGTTTTTGCTTGAATCAGACTCCAACAATGAAAGAGAGGGAAACTTTAATTTCTGTTAGTATTCGCACATCAGTTCTTCCAGGAGCATGTGATGTCTACTTAATATTATTCAATTATATGGTGGAAGAGGGTCTCCCTTTTCTTCAGTTTTTCAAATTTTATTATTTCCTTTAATATAAAGAATACAATAATATGAGATGACAGAAAGATTTAAGTTCTGATTTGCTGAATATTAAGACTAATTATGTAAACTAACCGAAATAATCAATGAGTTTTCTTTTATTTCTTTTTCGTTTCTCACATCCTTTTCGTATCAATGGAATCAAAGCCTAGCTAATTAACATACAACCGCCTGTACCCAAATTTCAAAGTTTTAATTAGCTAGGCCATGTCATTTTCCTTGTAATATGAAAAATATCGTTATGCAATAAAACGTTGAGAAATCTCAAGTAAGGTCAGTTTAAATCCATAATGAAATCAAATTGATACTTTGAAAGTAATATTTATTTGTTTTATACTATATACGAATATTAATAATTTGCATTTGAAGTTCCGAACTCAATTAATTATATATTATTTGGATTTATGTTGCATTATCTTACACGAATCAAGCGATCTTAATTATTAAAGAATTTGATATTATTTTTTGAGATCTCAAATTCGATCGTGGCATATGCAAAGATATTAATGTTTATTGTAAGAAAGTTGAAAGTCTATGAACATATATTATCTTCTTCTCACCTTAGATTTTATATAAAATATTGTTTTATATAATAAATTTTTATATTTAAATTTTTTTAAGTTTTTAAATAATAATATCATTATTATAACATATATAATAAATAACATTATAAAATTACTAAACGAAAAGGAAAGTTTGAATGTTAAATAGAAAATATAACTTTAGATATGAAAGTTAAGAAGAGGAGCAAAATGAGCACTTTCCACCATTTTCTTGTTTCCCTGTCCCTGTCTCGATAAACCTTTCAACCAATGGGACCCAACTTTTCTTCTTTGAAAACGAAGTTATGCTGGCGTGGCACTTAGTGGGCCCACCCATTGTAGCTACGTGTTTTTTCTTTTGTCGTTTTCTACATCTCACCGTTCAGTATACGTTTCCCTTTTCCTTTAAACATAAATTTTGATTTTGAAATTTCACATAAACTTCCAGACACGAAGGCCTCTCTTCATTAAATGTAGTGGATCAAGTTAGAAAAAAGTAATTAAATATTTATTAAAATATAAGCATCTCATGAGATCAACAAATGGATCTAGATTGACAATATACAAATAGTTAACGTTCAGTGAAGATTTTTTTATTTATAAATTTGGGGTACATACATGATAACATAAACGGATACAGATTTTATGTTGGGGAACTTATAAAATTTTAGTGGATAAAAATAGATTTCTAATAAAAAATACTTAAAAATATTAAAATATATAGTAATTTCAAAATTTTAGGGGGACAACTACCCCCACCGCCTGTCTCGATCCATCCCTGCAAGACGATATCTATTCAAAGACTATCATTCATTTGACAATGAGCGCTTATATTTCTAATATATGCGGTGCTCGAATTTAAGACTTCTGAAAATAACAAATCTCTCATCGCTAAGATTATATGATTCGTACTTAATTAAAGATATTAAATGAGAAAAATAAATGGTACCAATGATATAAAAAATATTGGTGTAATAATAAGATATATTATATCATTTAAGAAAAAAAATATAAACTTTTCAATAATATTGTTAAAGAGAAAATTACAAATCTCCAATATAAATAATAAAACAAATATGAAAAAAAATATAAAGATAATAACAGTATGAGGAGATAAATTGACAATTGGAAATCCTTTGATTGAGGGCAAGGAAAGGCTTTTGAGGGACAATGGATGGCTCAACCAAATCGTTGATATGTCGTTGTGAGATCCTGCAATTTAATTTTGGGAGGAAAGTCTTAATGCACTTTCTCGTCTTGGACATTGAAAATTCTCGAAGTTACTATATTTAATTACCGGATCTTGCTTTAAATTACCTAAAGTGTAACATTAAATTAAAATTAAGCTATTCAACATTTGATTTGCTATACTATTTTTGAACCCATTACAATACCAACCTCATAATTTTGGGACTTCCATTTTAATATTATGGACATCCTATTATTTCAATGTAAAATAACATTTTTATCCTCTAATATGTCAACGTTTTGTATTTAACTTTTATATTTTAATTGGGCATAATTCATTTTACAATGTTACTAATTAATATGAATTATTAATGTCATATTTTTTTGTTAAAATATTGACTTTTTTATAAAAACAATTGTCTTTAAGCATTCGATACATAAAATTTTTATTAAATCAAGTTATTTGATTAGAATTTTTTTATATGTATTCTTAAAAATAATTCTCCTCGGAATTTAAACTATGGTGGATAATAATATTATTTTTTGAAAAAATAATACCCGTTAATTTCATTAAAAAGAGATGAAATACAATAAAATAATAAGAAAAAAATTATAAAATTAGGTAGAGTAGATTATATCAACATACGGTTTCTCTTAAAATCATCAAATTGTACAAACTAACCACTAAAGAATAAAATATAACGATATCAATTAATTGGTCGAGTGATCAAATTTGATTATATTGTTTCAGTTTGTATGAATTTAAATTTCAACATCTATCTTGAAAATGTAATACATCTTTACCTGATAAAAATAAAATAAAATATCATTGTACAAAGAAAGAGTTAAATCCAACAAAATAACTCAAGAAAATGATAGATATAAATAAATATCATTGTCTGTCATAAAAGATAAACATTAACACTAACATAAAAATGTATATAAAATAAAAAAGTGTTGATAAATTACTTTTATCATAGCTCAACTATGATCTATCTTTGTTGATTGTAATCATTTGACAATAAAAGGAAATCAGCCAAGGATCCAAAATAAAAATAAATCAATAAGATAACAAATAAATGTCAATTAGAAAAGCAACATAAAATTAATCTCTAAGAAAAAATGTATAACATGTTCATATAAAGAACGTGATATAAGAGTAGACAAAATCATTTCTATTTTTTATATGAAAAATATAAAACATAGAGAGCAAAAATTATAATTTCGATGAATAATTGAGTTTTAATTTAATTAACGCCTTTATTATTATAATATCGTAAGAAACATGTATTTAAGAATACTTATATATATATATATATATATATATATATGATAGCTTAAATGAGTATTGACATAAGTGATTAGAATTTAGGAATTTAAGCTTTTAAGGCTAAGTTTGAATCTATTATCGTCATTCTTGGTGAACAATCTGTAAATTCCTATATAAATTTTAATTGATTCTTAGGTATATCTTAACCCTAAATTGGGGAGCCACCTCTGAACTAAACTTCTTTTAAAAAAATGTTAGCCTAACCTCATTTAAGGTTTAAAAATTTAAATTCACCATGATGAAAACTATAATTTATTTAAATACGTTTTAAAAAAAGAAACAGAAGGGAAAGATGTGAAGCCGAAGACTTATTAATAGGGTTCAAAAACCTTGTAGCCTTCTCGAAGTGCCCTTTTCAGCCAAACGTAGGTTCAAATTTGAAACAAAAGGGAAGTAGAAATAATAGATGTGTCCCCCTCCCCTATTCTAATAGCTTGAAAACCAAAATATAAGTCTTTCAAATCTGAACACCTCCTCCTCCCCAACCACCAAAATGTACAGACTTGCATTAAAATTCCCACCAAATCACCTCCACCGACACCACCTCTTCATCCTCCTCCTTTTCCTCCTCATCTCAGCCCGTTTTACTGCAACTTCCTCCGCTACTACCACCGATTACCGAAGATTCAAAGAAGCTCCTCAATTTTATAACGCTCCCACCTGTCCCTCCATTGACATTAATGGCACTACTGAAATGTGCTCTCCTCAAGCCGTTCATGTTGCAATGACCCTCGACGCCGCCTACTTGCGCGGTTCAATGGCCGCCATTTTTTCCATCTTACAACACTCTTCTTGCCCACAGAACATCATCTTCTACTTCGTCGCCTCCTCCACCGCAGACCACCACCACCTCCGGCATACAATCTCCCGTTCTTTCCCCTTCCTTAAATTCCAAATATACCCATACGACTCCTCCGCCGTGTCCGGCCTCATCTCCACCTCCATTCGTTCGGCACTCGACTGCCCTCTCAACTATGCCCGCAACTACCTCGCCAACCTCATCCCTCAATGCGTACGCCGAGTCGTTTACTTAGACTCCGACCTCGTCCTCGTCGACGACATCGCTAAACTAGCTGCGACACCGCTGGGAAACAACTCAGTTTTGGCGGCACCGGAGTACTGCAACGCCAACTTCACTTCCTACTTCACCCCGACCTTCTGGTCTAACCCTACGCTATCTTTAGCATTCGCCGATCGCAAAGCTTGTTATTTCAACACGGGGGTAATGGTGATGGACTTGCAAAGATGGCGTGAAGGAGACTACACGAAGAAGATCGTTGAATGGATGGAGCTTCAAAAGAGAATAAGGATCTACGAGTTAGGGTCTTTGCCACCATTTTTGCTTGTGTTTGCAGGTAAAATAGCGCCCGTTGATCATCGATGGAACCAGCATGGGCTCGGTGGTGATAATTACAGAGGATTATGCAGAGATTTGCATCCCGGTCCGGTTAGTTTGTTGCATTGGAGTGGGAAAGGGAAACCATGGGTGAGGCTCGACGCAAACCGGCCTTGCCCATTGGATGCTCTTTGGGCTCCTTATGATCTGCTGCAAACACCCTTTGCTTTGGAATCTTAGGATCTCGGTAGTCGGTATACGTTCGACAATAATTCCTTTTTTTCTGGGCTGAGATTTTTACTTTCAATGATGCCTTACACCATAATATGAATCTGAGTGCAAAATTAAGATTCTAAAGCAGACGGCATTAACAATCTATATGCAATCTTTGCTCTTCTTTTGTTTCTGATCCATGTATTCCTCAGAACACTGTATAAAATACTTGTGGCTACTAAAAACATTAAATATTCTCACTTTTTGGATATAATTGCATCAATCTTTTCATTTTTTATCTGATAATAATTACTTGAAATCAAGGGCATTAATTGCGACAATTTGACAAGCTAGCAATGTCTGGTTTAATTTATATTCAACTTACGTTACTCCCGAATTTAAGATAGTTTGGATTACGTGGATCCCTTATTACATAGTTTGGTTTAATTTTTAACGACAAAATGGCAAAGTAAAAAACGTGATTATCTATCTCACTTATTAGATTGATAAAGCTTGTCCCCATTACGACTATCGAACAAAAGCTAAATGTTTATTAAAAACTTATTTAATGTTTGGTGAGGGCAATTCGGGATATTTTACTATAATAATACAAAGGTTGTATTTTAATATCTATATAATGGGAATAAAATATGAAACAAAAGTTAAGCAAAAACTATCGTATATAATAGTATCTAATTATAAGCCGGTTTGATTAAGCACATCAATTCCAGACTCTAGAGTCCACCCAAACAAGTTAATCCAAAACAGTCTAGAATATTTTGCTTATTCTTTTTGTCATTTTCTGACTTTGGTTTTCCGAACAGCTACCGAAATATATGCTCTCGTACCGAAAATGTACAATCCCAATTAATATTTGTTTTAAAAGGATAAAAGGATAAATGGCTTTTTAGAACCATTAAGTAATTATACAATGGGTAAACTATGTTTTAGTCCCTTTTGTTATCTGCTTGATTGACTTTGGTCACCAACAAAATTAAGGGCAAATGGTGTCTTACTGTTATCGGTCCGTCCGGTTTAAGTCTCTATACTATTAATTTTGTGTAACCCCCTTTTATTTTAAGTCCCTTTTATTGAAGTCACTAATGATCAAGGGACTAAAATCAAACAGACCGATAACGTTACGAACGGACCAATAATGTTAGGGACTTAAATCAGATGAGTTAATGACATTAGTGACCATTTTCGCTTTATTTTTTTCTACTAACCAAAGTCGGCCAAAACGAAAACACAGGAGACTATGGTGATAGTTTATCCTTAAATAATCGACTAGGTAATTTGTTTTCCAGCAAAAAATAAATCAACCCATTTTGGGCTTTTATATCTTCTCAAAGCATAAATTAAATTCTCGTCGTTTTATATTAACTACCGAAAAAATTAAGGGGAAAAAACTTTAAATTGAGTGATATTCAGAGCCAAGAGGAAACGACAAAAGACATGTTAGTTTATTAAGTGATCCAATGTGTAAAAAATAAAGAGATTAAACAAAAGATAAATTAATTAATCACTTTACCCAAAAAAATAAATAAATTAATCAGATGAGTAAACGCGTTATCCACTTTTTCATGTTGATATTATTTTTGACTTTAGGAAAAGAGGGAAGAAAAACTCATGAAGACATTTCTGTCCTTTTTTCCTTCTTTTGAAGGTGCTGTCTGTTTCCCATTTCTCTAATTCCTATAAATTATAAGCCCAAATATTTTATACATTCTCGTTGGAACAAAAGAATTACATAGAAGTTTAGAACTTTTGATAACGTCCTATTTCCTTTTGTAATTTTTATTCCTCAAAAAATGTATAGAATAAACAACTTTTTGTTTGGTATTTACGTAATTAGTAATGTAGTAAACTTTTGAGATATTTGACCTGGATAGGGTGAGCCTCTATCCACAATTTAGGGTCAGTTAATTTGTGAGAAAATAGATTTTAAAAAATGGATTTCGTAAAATGAATTATAATTTTTAGAAAATATTTTCTAAAAATTATTTTACGGTGTTTGAATGATGTTATATAATTCATTTTTCACTAATTGGTAATTTTTTTTAAATTCTTTATTATGAACATCATATACAATAAATAATATTATTTTAATATTTTGATATTATTTTTAAAATATTAGAATAATTTGTTTAATATTACTTATGTCAATATTATTATAAAAATATTATATCTATAATTTTATAAATAAAATACTACGATTATTATATTTTATTAAAATAAAATATTATAATTATATTAATATTTATTAAAATAAGATTAATGTATTATTAAAATAATAATATTATTAAAATATTAAAAATTATAATATTAAAATAAGAATATTATATTATATTTTAAAGAGTATATATTAAATATTCAATAATTTAATAATATTATTTTTATAAAATTAATAAATATAAATTATTAATTTATTAATAATTTATTATATATTATTAAAATAAAAGTAATAATAAAATATAAAATTTAAATTTTCACTAAATATAATTTATTAATTAATATTTTTATTAAGATGATATTAAAATAGTATATTAACATTAAATATATAAAATAATAATGTTTTAATTATTTATATTTTGAAGTGAAAAGTTTATAAAATGACTTACGAAAAATCAGATGGTAAGTTATTTTCCAAAATGAAATTTCAATTGACCATAAAGATAAATTACATTGACCATATGTTTTTTTTGTTTGCTAATCAAACACTTAAAAAACGAGAAAAATATTTTCCGAAAAAGCAATTACAAGAAAACACATATCCTTATTATCATATGGTGTTTACTTCGCTGTTTCTTTATGGAAAAACAATTCACCTGTTTCCATTCAAAAAAAATTACATCGACTATATATTTTCCGCCAATCAAACACTTAAAAGACCAAAAAAATATTTTCTGAAAAGCCAATTACAATAAAAAAACATGCCCTTATTGTCATATGGTGTTTGCTTCGCTGTCTCTTTATGGAAAAACAATTCACCTGTTTCCATTAGAAAAAAAACCCATAGAATACAGACTGACAATTAATATTCTTTGGACTAGTCTGGGTTCTATTTTTTGTACATCAACTCTTCAAATAAATGAAAACAAAATCTCAATAGGTTTAGAATTGATAATATTATATTTTCCATGATAGTCAGAACTAGAATAAACTTAACTATTGTAGTTTTTATTTTGTTTAGAAAATTAATTATTAATATTATATTATTCTATTATAATTACTTTTTAAATTTAATTATATCTTTTGATATGATAATAATTTTAATCCTTGTTAACAAACTTAATATAACAGTAAAACATAAATGGAATTTCTTCTTATTGTTTTTCAACAATACTACAACATGCTATTTATAATTCTCTACATACAATCATCATTCTAGAATAATCTAGCAAACATGACAGCTCATCAATACTAACTGTATATGAATAACAACCCGCCCCTAATCCATGCAACGTAGGTGACTCATCTTCATTGTTATTCATAGCTGCAACATCCTTCCAACTTCTCTGTTCTTCATCGTCTTTCTGTTTTTTATGGCTGCAACATTTTCCCAACTTTTCTAATGCTTCTTCATTAACAACTTGAATTTTTTTCCCGAAACAAAGCAAAGGCTGAATTTGCTAATGGTTTTGTCAACCCATCAGCAAGTTGATGACATGCAAGAACAAAGTTTACACTTAGTTCCTTATTTGCTACCTTCTCTCGCATAAAACACATATCTAGTTCTACATGCTTCGATTTAGCATGAAATACAGAGTTGACACTCATCGCTACTTTACTAGTGTTATCACTCCATATAACAAGAACTTCTCCTTGTTTTTCACCCATATCACGTAGCAAAGATTAAATCCAAACCACTTCAGCAACCGTGTCTGCAATACTTCGATATTCTGCTTCTGTGATTGAACGAGCCACCATTTTTTGTTTCTTTGAGCTCCATGAAACTAAATTTTTACCAAAAAATACACATTGGCCTGATATTGATCTACGATCATCTAGATTGCTTGCCTAATCAGCGTCAACAAAAGTAATAATGTCATTTGTTGAGCTATTAGCATGGAATACAATACCATAGTGAGTTGTTCCAACCAAATACCGAAGTATTCGTTTGACATCTATCAAGTGTTCTTCACATGGATTATGCATATATTGTGCGACACGATGTACACTAAATGCAATGTTTGGCCTGGTGTGAGTGAGGTACAATAAGCCACCAACAATACTTCGAAACTACTTACCATCACTAAGAGGTTCACCTGCATCCTTCTTAAGTTTTGATGACAAAATCATTGGAGTAGGGAGTTCCTTAGCTCCTATCATGGTTGATCTTTCAAGAAGCTCCTTGATAAACCTTTGTTGTTTTAGTACAAGCTTATCACTATATCTTGTAACTTCAATGCCCAGAAAATAACTTAGAGAACCAAGATATTTTAGAGAGAATTTCTTACCTAGCTGTTGAACAATTGTTTCAATAGTAGTAGATGAATTCCCAGTGATGACAATGCCATCAATATAAACAAGCATGAACACTCGGCTTTCATTCATACATCGTACAAATAATAAAGCATCAATAGCTGATTCTTGAAAGTGCAGATCAAGAAGAACTCGACGCAGTATGCCATACCACATACGAGGAGTTTGCTTTAGACCATATAAAGCCTTTTTCAAACGACAAACTAATAATTCTCCATTAACACCATTCTGTTCAAAGCCAGGAGGTTGTGTCATAAACACTTCATTACCAAGATCACCGTTTAAAAATGCGTTGTTGATATCCGCATGTCGCAGAGGCCATCCACGGGCAGTAGCAATAGAAAACACCACATTGATTGTAGCAGTTTTTACCACTGGGCTGAAGGTGTTATCAAAATCACAACTAGGTGTTTGGAAAAAACCTTTAGCTACTAAACGAGCTTTGTGTCAAGCTATTGTTCCATCCGCGTGTCGCTTGGTTTTAAATAACCACTTACAACCTACAACAGATCGACCAGGAGGTAGTGGTTCAAGCGTCTAAGTGTCGTTTCGAACCA